GTAATTAATTAATTATCAATTAATTAATTCTGATAGGCCTATTTTCGGGGCGTTACATTTCTCTCCCCCTTAAAATAATTTCGTCCTCGAAATTACCTGAGTCATTGGTTGAAGAGATTCGGATATTGCATTCTCATTGACTCTTCGGTTTCCCATGTTGCCTCTTCAGTCGAGTGATTCCTCCATAGCACTTTGACTAAGGGTACAGATTTGTTTCTCAATTGTTTGACCTCTCGTGCTAAAATTTGTATAGGTTCCTCCTCATAAGTCAATTGTTCGTCAAGAGTTACACTTCCCTCAGTCAAGATATGTGATGGATCGGAACGGTATCTTTTCAACATCGATACATGGAATACGTCATGGATTTTGTTCAGTTCTGGTGGAAGTTCTAACCGATATGCTACTGGACCCACACGTTCAGTGATTCGATAGGGTCCAATATATCTCGGACTTAGTTTTCCCTTCCTACCGAACCGTAACACTTTCTTCCACGGTGAGACCTTCAGAAACACCTTGTCATCAACATTGTATTCGATTTCACGACGTTTCAAGTCGGCATATGATTTTTGACGATCAGAAGCCACTTGCAGTCTTTCTCTGATTAGACTAACCTTTTCTTCAGTTTCGCGGACGAGATCAGGTCCTTCAAGTCTTTGCTCACTTAATTCTGTCTAGCTGGGGTTCTACAACGTCTCCCATACAAGGCTTCGTACGGGGCCATTTGGATACTCGCTTGATAACTGTTGTTATAAGCGAACTCCATTAGCGGTATGTATTGTTCCCAGTTGCTTCCAAAATCAATTACACATGCTCTCATCATATCTTCAAGAATTTGAATTGTCCTTTCAGATTGTCCGTCTGTTTGAGGATGAAATGCTGTACTAAAGTTGAGTTTAGTACCTAGAGCCTTTTGCAAACTCTTCCAGAATTGTGACATGAATCGTGGGTCACGATCAGAAATGATTGACAAGGGCACACCATGTAATCTTACGATCTCACGGATGTACAATTCTGCCAATTTCTTCAAGGACATATCACGTCGAATTGGGATAAAATGAGATGATTTGGTTAATCGATCAATGATTACCCAAACAGCATCATTCTTCTTGGCCGATAATGGAAGTCCGATCACGAAGTCCATCGTAATTCGTTCCCACTTCCATTCAGGGATGGTAGGTGGATGTAACAATCCACTTGGCACTTGGTGTTCGGCTTTGACTTGTTGACATGTCAGACATCGTGTTGTAAATTCAGAAATTTCTCGCTTCATTGTAGGCCACCAGTAAGTCTTCCTTAGATCTTGGAACATTTTATTACTGCCAGGATGCATGGTATACGTGGTTTCGTGAGATTCACGCATTAATCGTTCCCTCACTTGACCACTAGGAACTACCAAACGATTCTGGTAGAATAAAATTCCATCGTTTACAGTGAAATCTTGTCTCTCCCCCTTGGAGACAAGTTCACAAGTCTTCAAACAATAGTCATCACGTTTTTGTGCAACGTGAATTTCGTTCTCAAGAGTAGGCTGAATTCGGAGTTCGGCTATCATTTTTCGGCTCAATGCGTCAGCAACTACGTTAGCCTTGCCAGGGTGATAGTCGATGTAACAGTTGTAGTCTTTGATCAATTCCAACCATCTTCTTTGTCTCAAGTTTAACTCTTTTTGAGTTAGCAAGTATTTCAGACTTTTGTGGTCTGTGTGAATATATGTCGTTTCTCCAAAGAGATAATGACGCCATATCTTCAGAGCAAATACAACTGCTGCTAACTCAAGATCGTGAGTAGGATAGTTACACTCGTGAGGTTTTAACTGCCTTGATGCGTATGCCACGGCCTTTCTGTCTTGCATAAGTACACATCTCAAGCCATTATGAGATGCGTCACTAAAGATTGTGTAGTCTACACCTGGTACCGGTTGTGTCACTACAGGTGCTTCTGTCAAACATTTCTTTAGTTTCTCAGAGCTTTGCTGACATGCATCGGTCCATACGAATTTCACATTCTTTCTGAGAAGTTTGTTAAGTGGAGTTGCGATCGAGGAAAAGCCTTCAACAAATCATCGATAGTATCCAGCTAATCCTAGAAAGCTTCTCACTTCACGAACATTCCTAGGAACCTTCCATTCGGTGATGGCAGATATTTTACTGGGATCCACTTTAACACCTTCTTTAGAAATCACATGCCCTAAAAATGTAACTTCATCAAGCCAGAATTCACACTTTGACAGTTTGGCATACAGTTTATGTTCTCGTAGTACCTTGAGTACTATCTCCAAATGTTTTGCATGATCTTCTCGATTCTTCGAATAGACAAGAATATCATCGATGAATACAACCACGAATTGATCAAGATAAGGTCGGAATACACTATTCATGAGATCCATGAATACTGCAGGAGCATTGGTCAAACCAAAGGGCATTACCGTAAACTCGTAATGACCATAACAAGTGCGGAACGCAGTCTTCGGGATGTCCTCTTTCTTTACTGGGATTTGATGGTATCCTGACCGTAAGTCAATCTTAGAGAATACAGTAGATCCTCTAAGCTGATCAAATAAGTCATCGATACGAGGTAAAGGATATCGATTTTTGATTGTGACTTTGTTTAATTGACGGTAATCGATGCAGAGTCTCATCAAGCCGTCTTTCTTTTTGACAAACAGAACGGGTGCTCCCCAAGGGGAAACACTCGGACGTATGAATCCTTTATCGAGCAGTTCTTGTAGTTGAGCCTTCAACTCTTTCATTTCAGCAGGGGCCATGCGATAGGGAGTTGCAGATATCGGTCCTGTTCCAGGAACAAGATCGATGGAAAATTCTACTTCTCTGGAGGATGGTATACCAGGGAGTTCGTCAGGAAATACGTCAGAAAAACCACCTACTGTCGGTATGTCTTTCAACTCAGGAGTTTCCTTTCGTGTGTCACGTACATTACACAGGTAAGCTTCACATTTCTTCCGAATGAGGCGTCTAGCGTGTATGTACGAGATGAATTCAGTGGATTTAGGTGTTAGATTCTCTTTCACCTTTATAGACTTTCCCTCTCCAGACTTTAGTTGAATCGTTCGTTGTCGGCAATCGATAACTGCTTGGTGTTTGTTAAGCCAATCCATTCCGAGGATGATGTCAAATTCTTTGTACGGTAATTCGACAAGATTGGCAGAGAACTGATGTCCTTCAACAATCAATGGATAGTTTTGATATACATGATTTAACCTCATACTACGACCTAACGGATTAGATACTAGTATAGGTTGTTCCAACTGTTCTTTCATTATGTCAGCTTTTTCAGGCATATGTACACAGATATACGACAATGTTGATCCAGGGTCTATCAATACATGCACGATAGTATCAAATAAGGAAAACATACCCTGAATGACGTCAGGGTTTTCCTCAGTTCGTGCCTTCATTGCATATGTACGAGCAGGAGCTCGTCCCTGTTGTTGGTTCTGATTCTTGGCTGGCTTAGACCCTGCTATTGAGCGTTGACTTGGTGCGGGTCGTGTTGATGCAGACTGGCTAGCAACAGGAGCAGATGGAAATGGTTCTCCAAGGTTTGTAGGGCACTCCTTTTTGAAATGTCCTGGTTTTCCACAGCCAAGGCACAACCCTTGTTTCAACCAACACTCTCCAGGGTGGTTCCTTCCACAGTGTTCGCAAGCAGGATACTTTCGCTTCCTGGATCTATCAACGGATGCCATCGATTGAGTTTGCATAGATTTTCCCTTTTTAGAGAAATGTGAGTTACTAGATTCCTGGAAGGGCCTTTTTCCTTTTGAGGCAGAATTAGTGGGATGGTAAGTGTTTGGGCCTCTGCGAAATCCACGGTGGTTAAGACGGACACTCGTGACCTCAGGTCAGGTCGAAGTTTCGTCCTGAATTCCTCAATGCGATCGGTTGGGGTACTCACCAAGGTTGGCGCAAACTTTGCAAGTTTGGTGAACTTCTGACGGTATTCAAGGAGTGTCATGTTTCCTTGTTCCAGCTCCACAAATTCCTTACGTTTTTCCTCACTAAAACGTTTCGGAATGTATTCTTGCTTGAATGCCCAATCGAGATGTGTCCATGTCCACGGCTTAGGGGTTCCCACACTCTCATCGGTTCTCTTCCACCACTCGTAGGCTTCATTGCGCAGCAGTTGAGAAGCCAGTCGCGGGTAGTTGTCCAGAGGTACGTTGAGATCCTTCAACAGTCGAGCAGTCTGCTCGATCCAATCCCACGCAATTTGGGGTTCACCGATGCGATCCCCAAGGAATAATTCTGCACCGTTATCCCTTAGAGTTTTGTAGGTTATTACTCGAGGTGGCGGTGGTGGAGGTGGTTGAAACATTGGCGCGTTGGCTATTTGTTGTAACACATTAGCCAGAAAAGTTGGGATCACAAGGTCGGGTTGACCACCAGCGTTTGGGTTATTCCCAACATTTTGTTGATTGACAGGTTCATTTTGGACGGGAGGGGTGAAACTAGATGCTTCACTGTGAACACTGACGTGCTCATTGTTGTTGCCTTGTCCGTGGGCAGACTCTTGACTCATTCTACAATAACAGAAATTCCTTTATTAGGATTCTTTATTCAGTAGTTGAGTTTAAGACATGAATTGCAAAGGATTACAACAGTCGATACAATTGATGGATTTAAA